CCCTTGTCAAATTGTCATTTTCCTCTACTCCCAGAGCCTCGGGACTCAGCCAGGTCTGGATTTTAAGCCTGACTTCACCAAAAACCAAGTTTGCACCCTTGGAAAAAATTAATATCCTACAGGGAGGGTGTTTCAAACAGATCAGTATTTCTAGTTTTGTTGAAGAATTATTGGACAATCCTCAAATCTATCAATAAAAGTGAATTGCATGCGGCTTAAATTTGCTTCTTTTGGATCCCTTTTCTTTCTCTGTTAAGGCTCCCAAGTCTTTATCTATGTGGTTAAAGCCAGTAGTTCAGCATCCTCGATAAGGAGTCAGTGTTTTTAACGAAGCAACCAGGGAAGATTTCAAAAGGAGGAAGATACGTTTTTTGTTTTGTTCTTTCTCTCTACATAAACACATTTGTGTTGGTCCATTAATCAAGGTTTAGAAAGCAATTTGTTTTGCTGGTTTGTAAGCAAAGCTAATACATTTTGCCTGGTGGGAAAGTGAGATTGATTTCTGATGGCGCTAGAAAAATATAAAAAGACGAAGTTATGGTGGTAAATATGGTCAAATTGTTTTCTATCTTCTATTCTCAGTACGAATAATTTTTTATTGCAATAAACAGCTTATATAGAATTTAAATGCTATTCAGTAGCTTCTGTTATTTGTTGCTTAACTGTGGATTATCGATAAGGCCAATCTAAGCTGGGATTTCTAAAAGAAAAATCATTAGGTGTATTTTTTCCAAGACAATGCAGACAATTGAACTTCTTCTCATTTTGGAGAGAATAGCGATAGTTAGGAAAAGCATGGATATCATTCCCAATCTGAATTACGGATAGAATACTTTCACGCATTTTTAAAAGAAGAATACGACATGAGGTTTGTAACAAATTGAAGAAGATACGGTATATTTTTAGGCTAAGTCTTCAAGTCAGGAAATATATTATTTTTTTCTGGGGATTTGTAGGGATACTGATTGTTCATTCATGTGATGTTCTAACTTACGTTCTCCTACTTTGTCTTGAATGGAGTGCGTTCGTTTACATAATTGGTCCCCTCGGAGTAGGTGGGTCGACCAGAGGCCAGCACGGTCTCTATTTCTGTAAGCCAATGAGTCGTCGGAGTCGCTTGGGATATTTTTCCCACAATTTACTCGCACATCCTGGCCTCCGGTCTGTCTACGTCTTCTACACCCTGCGTTCTCTTAATGTTTACCCGACGGATGGACTGTAGCTCCTATAATATGTTCCCCGGAAGCCTTCAGCACTTCAGAGTTCTTTCTAAGGATAGCCCTGATTTTCAAGGAGTATGCTTCCTTCAATGGTCTCGGTGAAGACTCCTCACCGGAAAGACGCGGGGCCTCGAGACCTGTTGCGTGCTCCATAAGGATTAACACGCATTACTGCATATATCTGACAGTAGATAGAAAGTGATTGCGAGGCTGGGGGGAGGGTTATGTGGGTTGGCCGATGGAGTGAGGAAAGAGTTTTTGGCTCATTCAGTCCTCTGGGTGTATATCTGGCTTGCCTGCAATACCAGCCGCTGGCGATACAATGCTGATATTATTCCTGTTTCTAGGTGAGTGTTCACTCTTTTATAGTGCGCTGTGCTTTTTGCAGAGTTATCTGATATTATTCTGTTATTAAAGAATTTTCTATGTCTCATCTCTTTTGTGGCTGTACCTATCCAGAATGTCTGAAGTTGATTTACATTATAGTAGGATTCGATCCATTCATTTCGTGAATGTTTTTGTTGTCAGATAGGCGAAGTGGGTATAGCTTTTTGCATGGGACAACGATCGTGCAATGTATTTTATGGCTGGGTGGATAATTTTAGTATAATATTTTGCAAGCTACAAGATCCTGATTATGCAAATGTGAGTTATGGATGGAAGACATATTATTAGCTTGGACACATGGAGGTGTTTTCTGTGATTTATCTGGCACATTAATTATGCTTCTAATTTCAGAATTTATTTAAAATTAGTTCAGAAAGTCATATTTCTTAGTGGGAAGTTATGGGTCAGATACACCACATGTACGTTATCTTGTTTCCCAGTTATGGTAGCTATGTCTTTTAAAGAGATATCTAAAACCTGAAAGAGAAACTGTGGACTCTCATCATGGCCTGCTAAATATTTATTGTTTAATATTTATGTGCTTTGACAACCGGGTTGATAATCACTGTCCTGATATCTAGATCTCCCATATGTATCAATTTCCACACTCACTGTTTGGAGAGAATTGAAAGGGAGCCAGATATTTTCATTTGAAGGTGTCACACTTGACCAGGTGACTATTTTACTCTTTACTGAGAGAAATATCTATTTAAATGTCAACGTATTTCCTCCCGGCTGGTTTACTGATTTTTCAATCTTCCTAACCCCCATCAGTGGACGTTGTTCTTTGGGTCTCACTGAGAATGGCGAATAGATGTGGCATCCCTGGATTAAATGATAGAAGGAAAAAACCGTTAGTGATTTTAGAACATACAGGAAAGCGTTAGCAAGGCATCTTATGCAAATATAAGCACCCAACCTTAGATTAGCTATCTGCACAGGGCATAGGGGAGATCTATTCTATTTCTGTTGTCGCTTCATGACTTTTCCTTTTGAGGAGTTAACATTTTATCTATGAACAGAGCTCTCTTATGGACGTGAAGTAACTTTCATGCCTCATAGAGTTCTCTAATTAAACCTATGTTTCTTCATATTTCAGTATATTAGCTTGGATGACGAATACCTTATTTCTGATAATTTTCAAGTATCTTTCAGATATAATTAATTAATCTTATTCTAAGTCTATATATTAATACTATATATGCTATTATACTGGTATCTTATATATTACTATTCACTAATATTCATAATGTATAATTTTCAATATCTAACACATATTTTAGTTTTTTCTTACAATGTCTCCTGGAAAATCATAAGTACCTGCGATAAAAGGCAAAGTTTGGTATTATTATCCACATTGGAGTATGAAACTACGATTTGCTAACATAATTCCTGGAGGGAAGCCTTCCATTTCAAATAGCATAAGTGATGCTTGGGTTATACGTGCTTTAACAAATTTTTAATTCAAAATAACTACCGTGTGAGTACCATAGCCTTGATCAGTCAGTGCCAATTTGGTCGCGAGTACATGTGGACCCCATTCTTCCGTTCTTGTGATACCTCACTTCAGAGGATGGGTTCAAGATCTACCCAGAAAAATATAAGAGGTGCTAGATCATCATCATTTCTTATAATTGAGTAGTATTCCATTGTACACATATACCAAATTTTAATAATCCACTCATGAATTGATGGGCACTTGGGTTGTTTCCACATCCTTGCAATTATGAATTGTGCTGCCATAAACATTCAGGTGCAGATGTCTTTATTATAGAATGTCTTTTGCTCTTTTGGGCAGAGGCCTAATGGTGCTATTGCTGGATCGAATGGTATTTCTATTTTTAGCTCTTTCAGGTATCTCCAAATTCTTTTCCACAGAGGTTGCACTAATTTGCAGTCCACCAGCAGTGTAAGAGTGTTCCTGTCTCTCGGCATCCTCGCCAGTATTTGTTGTTTGGGAATTTTTGATAGAGGCCACTCACACTGGGGTTAGGTGATATCTCATTGTGGTTTTGGTTTGCATTTCTCTACTGATTAGAGATGTATCATCTGTTTATTTTTATTTGTAAAACTAATAAAATAGGACTTAAAAAATTCACGCTATACATTTTATTCTGTTCTCTTGAAATTACCATTTGACAGACATTGGCTGAAACAACTGAAAACTGAAAATTTATTTTGTCCAGAAAAAATCAAAAGCAAATTTGCCACACTTTAGTGCAAATTATGGCTGTCTATTTACAATTTGATATCATAATAAAACAGATGTAATGAATCTGTATTAATTAAATGAAAATTGCCATGAAATGAAGCAAATGCACATTGTAAAATTAAAGACATTCTAAAAAATTGTGTCATCTTAAGAAATCTATTACTTTAACAAGATTATAAATTGCTTATAAAGTAAATGTGCAAGTTTAAGAAAATATAATAACTAGTGTACAAACTAAGACTATTAATGCAGATTCACAGTGTTCAAAAAGGTCATAAGGTAACTGTTTCTGTTGCTTTAAACTTTGCTAGAAGAGAATTGACTTTTGTTTTGATACCTTTGTTTCTATTATGTCGTCACATTCTTGCCTCTGATATCGCCACAGCTTTCAAACTGGTGTATAATTTTTGTAACTTTTTTTCAGGTAGGTGTAAAAGCATAGAATACTAACAAACCGTCACTCATTAATTTGCGTTTTGTTTGGTTTTGTTTGTCATTGGGATAGTATTTTACATCTACCACTTTATAGTTATGAATAATTAATATTTCTTCTAATTCATAGTTAATTAAGCAATTATGAAAATCAAAGTCTAAAACATTGCTATGAAAGTTGTAAAAACCTGATGGAAATTTCCCTACTGAAGTTGTCTATAAAAGTGCTTACCTGTATTTTCTGTTGCAGTTGGTTTTTGAAAGAAAAATTTCATATAGAAATCTAATACAACTCCTCCAGACATTCTATGTTTATTTCAGCTTCAGAAGGAAGCAAACTAGTCATGGCAGTAGAAAACACAAACTCATTTTATAGATGAACCGAAAGAATTGTGTTATTTAGTGTTTGGCTAATGTCAAAGTACATTCAAAAAGAGTAATTACAACATAAGGGTTTTGTTTTACATTTAAGAGGTTGACGTGGCTTTATAAATTATACTCACTCAACAAGTAAGATTGGGGCATTAATGCTAGTGAGAACATTAGTTTATATGTATGTTAAGGTAAGAAATTGAAATGGATAAACATTCTACCTTACTAAAACCATTGATTTTTCTATATGCAAATTTACACTAAAAGTCTGCTCTGCTTTGTGGGAATTCCTTTTAGGAGTAGATTAGGTTTAGCTTTTTGGGAGGAGTGCCAGTATAAAAAAAGCATTAAATCCTACCACTTCTTAATGTTTACAGGTACACATTTCAAAGAACTCCCAACTCTTCTCCACTGTGCAGCAAAATTTGGCCTAAAGAACCTGGCTACTCATTTGCTTCAGTGTTCAGGAGCAACCTGGGCGTCTAAGATGAAAAATATGGAAGGCTCAGACCCAGCACATCTTGCTGAAAGGCATGGTCACGAAGAACTCAAGAAAATCTTTGAAGACTTTTCAGTAAGTTTTTTTTTTCCATTAAATCTCTAAAACTCTTTTTATAAAGTAAGTGCGTATGTGTGTATTTGTGCACATACATTGCTTTGTTGAAAGCAGTGTGACTGCACAGCTAGTTTGTTGGTCCTGAGTGTTCCATTGTCTTAGAAAGCATTTTGCAAGAATAGTCTGCTTGTTTTAGTATTGCCATAAACCAGCTCTGACTCCATGCTCACAGCCTTTCTGAAACCCTCTCTGAAACCTATCCGTTCTTTCTGGCTTCTCTATAGCCTGTTGGCTATTGGAAAAGAGATGGTGGAAAAGGAAATGAAAACCTGTTACCTTTATTTTTTTGTGTGAGCTTCTTGATGTGACACTATTAGACACATGGAAACAGATCAGTAATTATTAGGTTGAAGGAATATTGACAATCCTTCAAAATCTATCCAATAAAAAGTGAATTCATGCCGCTTAAATCTGCTTTCTTATGTGGTTCCTTTCCTTTCTCCATGTTAAGTCCCAAGTCTTCATTATGTAAGTTAAAGCCCCAGATTTCAAAACACTCCTCGAAGGATGTCAGTTTTATAAGAATGCAACCAGGGAAAGATTTCAAAAGGAGAAGATACTGTCTCGGTACATAAAACACATTTTGTGTTTCCATAATCAAGTTTAGAAAAGCAATTGTTTTCTGTTTGTAGCAAAGGTACATACATTTTGCTGTGGAAAGTGAGTTATTCTTCTGATGGCGCCTAGAAAAATATAAAAGGACGAAGTTTATGGTGGTAAATATGTCAAAATTTATCTTCATATTCTCAGTACAGAAATAATTTTATTGCCAATTAACAGCTAATATAGAACATTTAAATGCTATCAGTAGCTTCTGGTTATTTTAGTTCTTACTGTGATTATCAGATTAAGCCAATCTAATACTGGATTTCTAAAAGAAAAAATACATTGTTATTTGTGATTTCCACAAAGAGAAATGATGACCAATGAAACTTCTTTCCATTTTGGAGAAATAGCGAAATAGTTAGAAAAGCATGGATATCATCCACAATCTGGAATTACAATAGAATATCTTTCACCCATTTTTAAAAGAAATACAGACATGAAGGTTTGTAACAAAATTAAGAAGCTACTATATTTTTTAGGCTAAGTCCTTCAAGTCAGAAATATGTATTATTTTTTATTTCTGGGGGGATTTTAGATACTGATTGTCATTTATGCTGATGTTTAACTAGTTCTCCTACTTTGTCTGAGGAGTGCGTTCGTTTTAATAATTGTCCACCCTCAGTAGTGTGGTCGACCAGAGCAGCACGTCATCTATTTCTGATAGGCCAATGAGTCCGTCGAGTCTTGGATATTTTCCCACCATGTTGTTACTCAGCACATCCTGGCTTTCCGTCTTCTACTCTCCACAAACCCTGTTCTCTAATGTTTACCCACGGATGGACTTAGCTTATAATTTTCCCCGGAAGCCTTAGCATTCAGAGTTGCTTTCTAAGATAAGCCCTGATTTTCAAAGAGTGATGCTTCCACTTCATGGTCTCCAGTGAAGACTCGCTCCCGACAGACGCAGCCTCGCAGCCTGCAGGTCTCCGTAGATAACACGATACTGCATAATCTGACAGTAGATACGAAAGTGATTGCGAGGCTGGGAGGTATATGGGTTGATGGATGTGAGAAATGATTTTTGCTCTTCAGTCCTCTGGGTGTATAAACTTCTGCTGCTGCAATAACAGCCCTGATACCAACTGATAGTTATCACTGTTTCTAGGTGACTGTTCACTCTTTTATAGTGGCTGCGTGCTAATTTTGCAGAGTTATACTTGATAATTATTCTAGGATTTATTAAAAGATTTTCTATGTTCTATCTCTTTGTGAGCTGTTACCTTCTGCCAGAATGTCTGAAGTTGATGTTACCATTACAGATAGGATAGATCCATTATTTCGTGAATGTTTTGTTGTCAGTAGGGAAGTGGCTATAGCTTTTGCATGGGACAACAGATCTGCAAACGTATTTTAATATGGCTGTGTGATAATTTTAGGTATATTATTGCAAGCTACCAAAGACCTGTATGCAAATGTGTAGTTAAGGAAATGGAAACATATGTATTAGCTTGCGACACACATGGAAGTGTTTTCTGTTGATTTATCTACCACATAAATTATGCTTCTAATTATCAAATTTATTTAAAATAAGTCCAGAAGTCATGTCTTCTCTGTGAAGGTATGTCGGATAACCACATGTTAACATTATCTATTCCCAGTTATGGTAGCTATGTCTTTTTAAGAGTATATCTAAAACTGAAGAAGAAAAACTGTGGACTCTCATCATCTGCTAAATACGTTTATTGTTTTTATATTTAGTAGCTTACTGTTATAATCACATTCTGATACATCTAAGATCATCCCATATGTATTCAATTTTCACACATCACTGTTTAGAAGAATTGAAAGAGCAGATATTTTCTCAAGGTTTGAGGTTCACAATTGACCAGTGGACCGGTGGAATACTCTGTACTGTATAGGGTGGAAATATCTATTTTTAAATTGAAACATAATTTCTCCCGGCTGGTTTTTGACTGAATTTTCACATTCTTACTCAAACCCTATCACGATGAAACGTTGGTCCTTTGAGGGGATCTCATGGAAATGGCAAATACGAGGAGTTGGGGTCATCCTGATTTAAAGTGGAAGAAAGAAAAACCAGTTAATGAGTTAGAAAAATACAGAGGAAAAGCGTGTAGCCAAGGCATTTATAGAAAATATAGCACCCTAAGGATACTTAGTATTAGACTATGATGCCACAGGGGCTAGGGGGAAGATCTTCAAAAGTACTATATTTCGTATATGTGCTTCATGACTTTTTCTTTGGAGGAGGTTTAAAAATTAGATAGTACAATCTGATATATGACAGGCCTCTTCTTTACAGTGAATAACTTTCATGCTTCAATAGAGTTATCTGAAAATTAACCTCTATGTTTCTTTTATAGTTCACAGTACTATTACTGGATGACAATACCCATATATTTCTATTATTTTCAAATATCTTTCAAATATAATATAATCATAATCTTATAATATAAGATCATTATATATACTATAATATAATCGTTCTCCTATGCTGTATATATATCTATCTATTCATATATATATCCATATAATTATAATCTTTCAAATATCTACACATATTTTAGTTTCTTACAATGTCTCCTGAAAGAATTAACATGAAAGGTACCTGGATAAAAGGCAAAAGTGTTGTATTTAATCCACATTGGAGTATGAACTACGATTGCTTAACATAATTTCCTCGAGGGCAAGCTCCATTTCAAATAGCAATATAGTGATGTTGGTGATTAATTCAGTGCTTTAAAAATTATCTTTTAAATTCAAAATGGCAGAAAATTTGAAAACAAATCTGAAGTTGTTACATCAGATTAGAGGTACTTTGAGATTTAAGATAAAGTAACATTAAACATTATCCATTAGGATGTGTTTTACTGCGTAAAAATACATATTAATAATGTGATAAATGTTAAATATACTTCTTGTATGAGCTCCAAATTAGTCATCCCATCCACCCTCATTTTAAACCCTTAACAAAATGGATTATAACTTCGATGCATAAATAGGACAAGAACAGTAAACATATCTTCTGTGTTGCTGCTGGCTGGGAACTGGAGAACCAACAAGTGTTTATTATTTTGGGAACAATATTCATAAAATATCTTTTTCTTTCCACCCAGTGTTCACTTCATGTATTTGGCACTACCCATCATTCAATAACGGGCTTAATAAAAAAATTCTTCCATGAAAACTTTAGAAATAGAAAAAATGAGCTCTTCATGTTACTTCTTTGGCCCTGTCGGGAATCTCTGCTATTTGTTCAGATCCGTGACTGAGATTCTGCGGACGTCTGGCTCTCACTGACCTTCCCTAAGCTTCTCTTTGCCCTGTGGCGGTGGCTCGTGTGCGCGCGTACTGCGATGTGGAGTGCGTGTTGCGTGCGTATCGTGTGCCGTGCTGTGCGTGGTCGTGTGCGATGCGTCATGGAGTTGCGTGGTGTGTCATTGTGCTGATGGTGTGTGTGGTGCATGTGTGCGTGATGGTGATGCATGTGTGTGTGTGTGGTTTGTGTGTGTGTGTGTGTGTGGTGTGGAGGAGAGAGAGAGCGCGAGACTGGGACTGAGCGGTTGAGTCTGTCGGCCCTTCGCAGTGTCTGGCACACTTCTGGATTTCTGTGCACGGGGCGGGGGTGTGGGAATCAGTGACAAATGGAGCTGGGTAAAGCACTTGCAGTATGCCTGAATATTGAATGCAAATAATTAACTGACCAGCATCGAGAAACAATATGTCAGAAGTTAGGTTTTGTGTTCAGGCCAGGGAACATTCACTCTTCCTGGGCTTCATTTCTCCTTCCTGCTTCGCATGAGCTCACTCTCAGTTCTTTACATGTAACTGTTTGATTCTAAAGTAGATTGGCTCCATTTTGATGTGAGGATATACGAGTATTATATGATTTTAAGGTTAGATTGGTTTGGCTGTGAGCAGTTCCTCTTTCCTGTAAGTCTAGAAGGCTCACGCTGGGCAATGGGCTCCCCCAGGACGTGTTTACGGGACAGAAGGCCAGTGTCCAGTTAAGGATCTGTTTGCTCTCACGTGCACAATCACATCCTTAACTAGTTCCCATATTGCAAATAAAATAATTGGTGATATTCCCTGTATACTTAGATTTTTTTTAAAGTTTGGTTTTAGAGAATTCAATAGATAGCCAGATGCTGTCTTCAGCATATATTGTTAATGAGCCGAGTACATGAATTTTGGAATCCTGGCCTTTATTCAGTGTTGATGCTCTGTTAGAACTGAAGAAACAGGGACAAGTCACGTAACTGCACTTGAGTGTGTGCATTACAAACTATGTCTCAGTTATATGCTTTTGAAGCTCTTAGCAATCTCGCTAAAATTCACTTAAAATGCACCATTAAATGCATAGCGGCTATTGGATTTTTGCTCTTCCCCAC